ATATTTCCTGATTATATCATGTTCCACAGGAATTTAACCATGTAAAACTGGGATGGGGGAACCTAAGTCCCAGTGGCCGGATGTGGTTCCCAGCTTGATGAATCTGGCCTCCGAGGCTCAGGGCCCCTCCCAGCAATGGGGAGCCCAAGCTGGTGCTCCAGCCCTCCTACCACCCCACCATAAGGCTGGAGCACACAAAATCTACTAAAATAAGTCCCCGAAGGCTCTGGTGTGCAAGGGGAACGTGAAGAGTGTCTTTCTCCTTCCTCATCAGGGGCCATGTGACTAAGGATTTGGTTTTTTGCTTCTCACTTGTGTGCAGCCCCTGACTGATTTTTCTGTGGGTCAGTGGCCCCCGACCCAAAAAAAGGTACCTTGCCTCTAATGTAAAAGCTAATTTGCAAGTACAGATAAAGAACTACATATTTATTAAGGGAACAACTTAGATATGTTTCTGAAACATTTGTGAGTAGTTGTGAAACATAACTGAATTTAGATCTACACTTTAATATCCAGCATAATATTAGTACAATTTATATCCTGTCTGATAATAAACACAAACTCTACACAGCAAGCTAATCAAGGCCATAAAGAACTCTAACTTTAGCCACGCTACAGATAAAGACAAGGTTAATAAAATCTACCCAGTACCAACCATGCCATTAATTAGTAACAGCATGGCTTAAGGAAAAGCTGACAGATGGCGAATGAAAGAAAACTAGGACAAGTCCTCAAACTATTATAATGCTTAGAAAAGACTACGTGTCTTGCCATTCAACAGGTATTACACTAATAGCACCTTTACCATTTTGATCATTGAAAATATTTCCTGATATGTGAAATGGAATCAGATACCTATTCCCTTGAGAGAAAGAAGCAAATGGCTAGATGTTAATTCCTTTACTTAACATTTAAGAAACTGAGAACTGCTCTGAGATTTTGCATTACATAGTTTGTATTGTCCCAATGAGTGTTCTCGGAACGATTTTACTGTTGTCTCCCAAGGACAGCCACAAAATGTGATGAGTTTCTATTCAAAGTATCCCAATGAGCAAAATATGTGCTAAAAACATAAACAAGGTTTCCACAATTTTAGGTCACTCTATTCCATATATCTTAAAATTAGTAAATAATTCCTTTTATCATAAGTTAATTTAAGATTTTGGATTAATATAACACTCTATTGCATTTATGGTCTGACGGCACTGGATGGAGGTAGGTATTATACAAGATTCTCCACATAAGCGTCAACATGCAATAGGAATAAAGCTATGATTTAGTCACAACTAGTTTATAAAAGTCATGGAGAGGTCATGGACAATAAACAAAAATTCACAGTCTGTGACCTGTCCATGACGTTTACTCACGATACTTGTCATTAAATGGGTCACTGCTAAGGAGGACGCTGCCGAGGGAGCTGGGATACCCTGGGCCAGTAGCACCAGCTGCAGATGCTCTGGCCTGCCAGCAGTCCGTGCCTGCTCTAGCCAGTGACCTGCCTGCCTGGTGCCACAGACCATGGCTGTTCCAGCAAAAGAGTGCTGATGGCAACCACTGGAGCACTGGCTGGTGTAGCTGCTCCTAGGGTCACCTGAGTAGCTATCCCCAGAGCCAGTTGCTTGGGTGGCTCTGGAATCAGCCACATAGTCGCTGCAGAAATCCCAGAGGTAGAATCAAGTCATGGAATCTGTGACTTCTGTGATCTCCATGACTGACATGGAGCCCAAATTATGAATTCTGATCTCACTACACAACATCTCAACTATTTTAGTCTTGAGCTAAGGCTTAGAGTCATTATAAATAATGGGCTGATTTTCAGAAGAGGACAAATATCCACTAGGAACCAGAACACCACTACTCTTACCAAAGGTGAAACAGAGGAATTTCAAATCTTTGATGCTCGGGGACTTAATGCTGGAAATTGACACTATACCAGGGAAATCTGACTCCTGACATAACAGAACTAAATTCAACACTTTTGACTCTTTTAATAGATTTGTTGTTTAACCAAAGAAAGAATTATAGCTATTAGACTACCCCAGTCCAAACCCTAACCAAGTAAAATGGAGTCTTTCAATTGACATCAATGGGGTCAAGACCTAGGATCTACCAAGACTTTTCTACTGCCTGCAGCAATGTTTTATTTCTTGACTTGATTAGATAGAAGATTCCCCACAACCTCGCGCCAAACAAAGACACTGAGAGGAGTGCAATAAGTTTATCTGACTAAAGTGTACTGTCAATTAGAAACCTACAGTGCCAAATTACAGGTATCAATAGAGGTGGTTTTGGAACAGACTGATAAATTAAACAGTAACAAGTCACCAGGACCAGATGGTATTCATCCAAGAGTTCTGAAAGGGCTCATATGAAATTGCAGAACTACGAGCTCTGGTACATACCCTATCACTTAAATCCAACCTCTATCCCAGAAGACTCAACAGAATCATAGAACAATAGAACTGGAAGGGATCTTGAGAGGTTATCTAGTCCAGTCCCCTGTCCTCACAGCAGGATCAAGCACTGTCTAGACCATCCCTGATAGATGTCTATCTAACCTGCTTTTAAGTATCTCCACAGATGGAGATTCCACAACCTCTCTAGGCAATTTATTCCAGTCTTTAACCATCTTGACTTGTGGATAGCTAATGTAATGCTGATTTTTTTTATAAAGACTCCAGAAGCAATCCCAGCAATTACAGGCTGGTAAGCCTAACCTCAATATCAGGCATACTGGCTGAATCTACAGTAAAGAACAGAATCATAAGCCATATGGCAGAACACCATATGTTGGGATCAAGCCAGTACAGATATGGAAAGGGAAATCATGCTTCAACAATCTTGAAGAATTCTTTAAGGGGATCAAAAACATGTAGACTAGAAAACCAGTGGATACAATATACTCGGGCTATCAGTAAGCCTATGTCAGTGTTCCTCACTGGCTCTTCCACAAAGGCTCTTCAACAAACTAGGCAGCCATGAGATAAGAGGGAAAGCCCTCTCATGGATAAGCAGTTAGTTAAAAGATAGGAAACAAAGGATAGGAATAAATGGTCAGTTTTCATAATGGAGAAAGAAAAATAGTGAGATCACCCAAAGATCTGTACTGGGACCTGCACTAGTCAACATATTAACAAACGATCTGAGATAAGGGTTAAACGGAGAGGAAGTAAATTTTGAGACACTATAAAATTAGTTAAATTGGAAGTTGACTGTCAAGAGTTACAAAGGGATCTCACAAAACTGAGTAACTACAACAAAATGGCAGATGAAATTAAATGTTTATAAATGCAAAGTAATGCACATACAAAATGATGGGGTCTAAATTGGACATAATTACTCAAAAAGATTTTGAAGTCATTGTGGATAGTTCTGTGAAAACTATCTGCTCAACATACAGTGGCAGTCAAAGTGACTAACAAAGTTAATCAAGATAATGCCATTATATAAATCCAAGATACACCTACATCTTGACTACCACATGCAGTTCTAGTTGCTCCACCTCAGAAAAGACTGATTAGATCCAGAGCAAATGATAAAAATGTATTGGGACATAAAATATCTTCCAAATTAGGAAAAATTTTTAAAAAGATTGGGACTGTTTTGTTTAGAAAAAAGTTGACTTGGGGAAAGGGGAATATGATAAAGGTCTATAAAATCATGGATGGTAAGGAGAAAGTGAATAAGGAAGCGTTATTTACCACTTCACATAAATATGTAAAGGGTCACCCAAAGAAATTAATAAGAAGCTGGTTTAAAATAAATTTAAGGAAATACTTTGCCCAATCTACAGGCAACTGCGGAACTTGTTGCGTAGGGATGTTACAAAGGCCAAAAGTATACAATAGTTCTTCTGATAATCCAGAACCTCTGGGACCTAGATGGTGCCGGATTATCAAATATGCTGGACTATAAGAGACTATAAGGTGGTTATATATATATATATATATATATATATATATATATACACACACACACTCTATATACAGTATATTTTATAGATATACAGTATATGATAATGTTTTAGGGTTTTTTTAACCCTTTTTTACCCTTTTCGTTTGGTTCAGCTGCTGCTGCTTTTTTTTGCCAAAGCTCACTCACTAGGCTCTTGCCATTTTGATGCCAGACTATCGGGAGTGCCGTACAGCTGGATGCCGGACTATTGGAGTTTTACTGTAATTAGATTCAAAGACGAATTAGATATGTTCAGGGGGATAAATCCATTAATAGCCATTAACTGAGATGGTCAAGGATTCAACTCCATGCTCTAAGTGTAGCCAAACCTCTGAGTGCCAGAAGGTGAGCCTGGATCACAGGGGCTGGATTGCTTAATTTCTCTGTTCTGTTCATTCCCTCTGAAACAGCTGGTATTGGCCACCATAGGAAGGCAGGATACTAGGCTGGATAGGCCATTGTTCTGAGCCATCATGGCTGTTCTTATATAAATTGATTCATTTGACAACAATGCATACTGCAGTAAAAAAAAAAAAAATAGCCATCAACATATTTTGGCTATAGGTCAAGACTGAACTTCTTTGGGAGAGAAGGATGAAGACCCTATTTAATAACTGCCTGGATTGTGCACAGGGACTAATTAGTATCATCAGTCTCCTACAGTGTAAAGATATTCTAATATGAAATATAAAACCAGTAAGTGCATAGATACCACTGCTTATAAATATTAGGGATGTGTAAGTGTAACCATATACATGGTTAACCAGTGAGCCTGCACTCATCGGTTAGCATACACCATTATAAGAAGTCCCCTTCCCCGGACCACTGCCTCTGTATCAAGAGCCAGCTCCTCACGCACACTGATTCCCAGGAAGCCACCTGCCCCACTCCCCTGCAGCAGTTACACTTTTACCTGAATAAATACATTTTTTTAACATCACTAATGAATATCTGGCAATATAAATAATTAACAAGCTATTTAGTTCCACATTACTTAAGCAGCTTTGAGTGTGTGTGATACCATATGAAATAGGCAGATGAGATACCTGTCAACTTACCACCTATGAGTCCAATTCTGCTTTCATCAACTTTGAAGACTGAAGCATAAGACACCAGACTTCAATAGGAGCACAACTCCTCTCAGGATCATGCCCATGTAAATTCCATGAATCAGGAGCGTCTTTTCTTGTCTGATGGGGTGCTAGGTAATAGAAATCGAATGGAACATATTTGTAAAGATGAGTTTTCATCACTAGTCTTATCTATGCACTTGTTAGCAGCAACATTCATCAGACCTTATGACATAGCGAGGGATGTGGACTATATCAATTAAAGATAATAAAAATCCACTTCTTGATCATGTCAACTGTATTTTTATTATTAGGTAAACTGAAATGAAGAGCAGTGTTCAGACTGACAAGTCCGGGTGACCATACATCTGTAGTCTTAACATATATCAGGTTTTTTTAAAAGGACTTTATTCTGCACTCTAAATAGACATAATTCAACAGAGTTGAAGGGTATAGATTATAGGGAACAACTTAGTTTACCTTAGAAGTGTCTCAGTAACAGTGGCTATTTTTCTCAACACTGTTTCTAGTGATAAATTGCTACTTTGCATCACCACATAGATGTTATTTTACACTGGAGATGTGCTTCACAAAAAAGCGGTAAGTAATGTGGGATGTACAGAGACCAAGATTTTAAATTTCCTTCTGATTCAAGTCTCTGCTGTTACATCAGGTTAGCAGATTTCAAGAAAAGGAGATCAGCAGCTACAATAGATATGAATCGGAGACATGGAATTCTAGAAGCCAAACAAGGCCAGCGGTCCATAAAGCATGGAATCTTGGCTTCAGATGGTAATTATTTCTCAGCAAGCAAAAGCTATTGTTTAGTGAAAAAAAAAATCACCAATTTATCCCTCTACAAAACAAACACAAAACTGTTTCTCAGGGTAAACATTTTACATTTACTTTACTAATATATTTTACCAGAAATAATAGTGACTAAAAAAAACCAAATGGCTTCATTTTGAAAAACTAATTAGGGTAAAAAGGGTATGGAGGAGGGTAGAAAAAGAATATATTCAGTGACTGGCAGTCTGAGCCCTAATCTTGTTTAACTGTTACATACAAACAGATCAGAGATTTGTTCTATGATGGGAATCAAGCAGTCTGTGAATCCCATTCTCTCTCCTACCACGTGGTCAATCAATTAAGGTGCTGTATTTTCACCATGAATATGCAGACCAAAAGACTTCTATCATGACAATTAGTCTGGGATGTCTCTCAGCACAAAGGCTGTTTTTGTTAAAATTACTATACCAAGATTTCCTGAATTAAATTTCAGGCATATCACAATGATCTGCAAAATAACAGAGTGTACAAGGCACTGTGCAATAGCAACACACAAAGCAAGAGGAAAATAAATTCATCATCTCATTTGTTAAAGAACACATGAATAGCTTTCCAATAGTTAAAAATGATCACACAGGACAGAGCTTGAAGGATTAGTATTTTAATTACCCTATACTCATTAACTTGGCTTATCTCTTACTTTAACTATTATATTCTTTTGTCTTTTACATGTGGAAACACTATATTTTATTTTTTTCTGACATAGCATCCAGAAGAATTAACAGTTTGGTTACAGTCACAAAAAAATAACTAAAAACTTAAGAACATAAAAACAGCCATATTGGGTCAGACCAACGGTCTATCTAGCCCAGTATCCTGTCTGCCAACAGTGGCCAATACAAGATGCCCCAGAGGGACGGAACAGAACAGGTAATCCTCACATGATCACCAATTTCCAAACAAAAACTGAGGCATCAGGTTCATGTCTATTTTCTTTCTAACTTCTCTCTCAGAGTTGGTCAGTTGGCAAGTGAGGAGATTATTTTATGTACCAAAAATAAAAATTCAGGGGATAGTAGAGAGGAGACACAGTGGTCACACACAAATGTATTGTCTCTTACACCCAACTACTGAAAATAATTCAACAAAGACCAAATTCTCAACCCCTTAGCAAGGGCCATTCACTTGGCATTTTGTGCACAGCATCTCTACAGGTGGAGAGGACAGACTCCTCCTCACCCTTATGGGTACCTGTGACGGCGCGTTGGGGTTCCCCGTCTCCTGCACCCCAAAATGGCACAAACAGACTGCACCAGCCAGTGGAATTGAGGGTGGTTTATTGCTCCTCCAGCACAGCGCAGCACAGATGTAATCTGGTTACAGGAACTGGGCTAGGATGCCTCAGGCCCCCTTGAGATGGGGGAGACTGGGCCCCTAAACTCCAGCTCCTCTCCCTAGGCTGTCTCCTCCATGCTCCCAGACAGCCAGCCACCAACTAACTAAATTCCCTTCCAGCCCTGCCCCCCAGCCAGGGCAGCATCCACCTTCCTTTGTTCCTCTCCATGGGGGGTGTCTGGCCACTGGTTCAACAAGTTTGGCATTACCTCTGCCTAGTGAGGTTTTCCCTGCTGGGTCTTGCTCCAGACAGCAGGGGTCACCACAGCCCAGCAAGTACCCCCACTACGTCACAGTACCTAAGCCAACATTATTTCAGACTTTAGTCTGCACTGGTACATGCTTTATCTCTTCTCACCCAATCCAAGACAATGGAGTCACACTGCCAGGAATATACGAGACCCACTTTTTGGGTACTGCTATACAGATCCACAACATGCAGAAATATACTAATCCACCTCCATAGACTGTCTGAACCCCAGCTCCTGGACAAAAGAACAACAATGTATTTAGAACCCAGAAAGGGTCTATCCATGGACTGTTTTCCCACAGAATGGAAGGTAGAAGGGGGATAGAGGAAAGAGCCTTGCTAATTAGACGTCTGTTATTAAAGAAAACTGCTATTACTTGGACACAAAGAGCAAATACCCTGAGAAAAATGATACAGTTTTTATAGGGACATTTTTCAAGACCACACTTTGAGGGATTCCACTGAACAAAGATACTGCACGGTGTCTGTTAATTATATAATAGCCACCCTGATATCCTTAGATACAAAGCTTATATTGAATTCAGAGAGACAAAACGCATGTTTGTCAACAGTAATAAAAGGTACACATTTAAAATAAATATGAAGTTACAGCCATGCAGTGTAATCTGAATACAAATTTAAATCCATATAAGATTATAATAATCACGTAAATTCTTGTAAGCATTATGACTCCGCCCCACACCCAAACACCTATGTCACTAACTCAGTTTTGTAAGGAGAATCTCATTGGAGAAGTGAACAAAGTGTTCATTATGAAACCGGGAAAACTACATCCTGGAGAAAGCTTAACTTCATGTGACACAGAAGGCTAATATTTATCATGAGTGAAGAGGAAGAGAACTGCAGTGAATGAAAAAGCATGTTATGTAGGAAGAAATTTTTTTACTAAAGCTACTGTGAAAATAAAAGCAGATTACTCTGGGGATGAGGAGAAGGGGAAGCATCTGAGCAGGTCCTCTCTTTCGAAAGGAGAGCTTTACAAGCGATGCCTAAAAAATGCAAAGACAAAAACTTTGCTCTTACTCTACGTACCCACGGTATCTACATGAGGCACAAGGCATTCCCCTCCTAGCTCAATGATTCATATGCAAAGCTGACAAAACAACGTGTTGCCTTGCTGCCATGCCAATACCTACATGAAAAGAGCACCAGTTTTCAGAACTGTGCTTTCTGCATTATGGGGAACAGACTGAGGTTTGTCTCCTTGACATACTTCTACAGTGATTATTCCAAGCAGATCAAACCCTTCTGACTTAAGGAAATGAAATAATGTATCTGCACATAGCTATTCCAATCAGACTGATTCAAGAGAGGAACAGAGCATTTAAACCCAAATTACAGATTGTTTCTCCATTTAATTAAAAATAAAGATTTAGGCCCTGATCCTGCAATTCATTGTACATGCCAGGACTAAAGTCAAAGAAATACAGGCAGAACAAACTGCAGAATAAAGGCCTTGAACAGCCCAATATTCTTAGAAACATTATCACGAGTTCCATTTTAAATTCAAAACAAACAGTTTGTTTGGATTTAAACATCATACCTTTGACACCATTCTAGTTCTGGAGAATCATAGAGTGAAATGAATACGTGAAGATTTCAATTTTTAAAATTCATTCACTTTTAATGAGCTCTAGTTAGAAATATAAAGGGTTGGGGGTTGCGTGTGTGTTTTGTGTTTAAGGAACATTCTAGTTTTAACTGGACATGGCCACTCTCATACCAAGCATTCATTGGTTGGTTGACTGCTGATTAGATAAATAAGATATTGATATAGCAAGAAGTATTCCACAATCTAACACTTTAACAAGTTGGGAAGAAGGCTCTGTGCACAACTTTATTCACCCCGTAGGCTCAAGATAGATGAAAGCCTTTATGCCCCTAAGGCTCCCATTAATTTCAGTGGGCTTTGCATCGGTACTCTATAGTTTTTGCTCTTTAAAGGCTGAAGTAGGATATGAAGTCTTCTGCCCAGGATAAATTTCACCAATGAACACTACCTCCAGCATGGGTAAGTATAGAAATTAGGGCTCAATACTTATCCTACAGTGTGTCTAATGCAGAGAAGGGGATCCTGGCATAGAAAAATTTTGGCACAGAATTCTTCTCACCAACAACCCTACCTATTCACTTCTTTAGATGACCGGAGTCATCTGAAGAAGTGGGCAGTGCTCACCATCTACATGTTTTGTAAGTCTATAAAGTGCTACCAGACTATTTGTTGTTTTTAAAGTTTATCCTGTACAGACTAACGCAGCTACCCCCTGAAGCTTCCTACCTACTCAGACACCCACTCTTCCCTGTTTTTCCCACTCACAGACTTTTACCATTTATCCAGTCTGTTTCCTCTCACAGTCAACAGCATATTCATTTCCCAATGAAACTCTTCAAGTTTGCCAACATGAGGAATTTTACTGAAATGACTACAGTGGGGTATTCTACATATACTATTACTATTCTACAGTGGGGTAGTTCTTCCATTATAGCTATTCCAGAATAACTCCCTCATGTTGGCCTCCTATTCCAAAATTCTAGATAAAAGACACTTTTATTTAGAAACAGAGAGCATAAAAAGGAAGTTATTCTAGAATAGCTAGACCAGAAAATGTTTGATACAGCTATGCCAGAAAATGTACCCATGTATTTTCTTCTGTTGTTAATGTAAAGCTAAGACTATTGACTCCACAGTCCTCAGGTAGCATGCTACTGGGTATGACAAAACCTAGAAGCTTACTACAAAAAGGAGTAAGATTTAATAGCTCTATTGCCATAATAAATAACTACTGAGAAACGCCGCCATGCAGAAAATCTACAAAAAGCAAAAAATGAGATTACATAAGGAGCTGGGCCGAAGACAAAGTAACATGTAAAATACCCTACAACTATAAGGTAACTTACTACAGAAAAAAAACATTGCAAGTCATTGCTGTCTAAGTTCCAGATCCTTCAAAATTCCATTCTTTTTGGCACATTACACCTCTCAGCCACTCTCTTATACCAGGAGAGACAGAACTACACGAAGTTCAGATTGAACAGACCATTCCTGTATTCTGACATTCCAGTGTAAAACTGAAGTTCCAAAATCTGTTAGATCCTGGGGTGTCATCAAGAATGTTGTCACATTCTTAACAGACAAAAGGAATATAAAAACAAAACCTACAAAATATTTTCCTCACTAGCAAAAAGAAACAAATAAAATGTGTATTAAGAGGAGAAAGTCAAAACACAATCATAAAAATAATAATAAATATCTAGAGGACTAAAGCATTAGATAACATTTACACTATTTAATGTAACAAAAGTAAAAACTGAAGTTTATTTTTTACTCAGATACATCTCCATGCATTACAAAGGGCCAAGCAAAAGTTAAGGGATTATGTTGAGCAGAAGTGAATCAGCTTCTCTATCATTCACATTGGTCCATTGAATGCACTTATTTTCCCAACCTGAAATTCAGTTTGCACTATCATCTTTGTTAAAGCAATTCTCATGAGAGTTAATATGTACAACTACGAATAAAATGCTGCCCTGGTTTAAATAAAAAGTCAAGGAATGGGGGAGAGAAAGCATGTGAATGGATGCTTCTTTAAGAAACAAAGATCTGCAATGTTTTTGGATGAAATCCAGTCAAGAAGAAACCAGTTATAACAAAGCCTATATCAAGTCAGCATCACCCAGCTGTTAATAATGAAAGATGAAGACAGGATCTGTTCCAATGAAAATGTCAAGATGCAGTTAAGTTTGCATCTATGCAAACAGCACTGTAAGATAGTGATAGAAATGTAGCCGTGTTAGTCTGGGGTAGCTGAAGTTAAGAGTGATGTTCTCCACATCTAGAGGAGGGTTTGCCTTGTTTAGAGCAACATCTTGCGACACCACAGCACTCAGTTTACAAAAGCTGACTTGCAGCAACATCACAATTGCAGTTAGATTTCTCCACCTAATGAGACGGATTTTGAAGTGCACAGGAAGTGCAGAAATGATTAAATGAACAAAGCGTTCTTAATTATAGAGCTATCCAGAACTAATGACCAAAGCCAAATGCAAAATCACAGCATTAGTAAAAAAAAAATAGCCCTCATGCCCACCCATGTATATGTACCTGCTTAGATTCAAAGTGCAAGGGAGACTATTTCCCACTCCACTGCAATTGCTGGGGGAGAGGAGTGGGGAGAAAAGGGAGATTGTGAGAAGAGGGACAAGACGATATAGGGAATTGGTAATGGAATTGGGAACCTTGCCCCTTTTGGTCATCAGTTTAAATCCAGCCCATGTAGGTAACGATTTAAATAGCATCTGACAGAAGTGCTGCTGTGACCTCAGAAAAGGAATCAACATTAAAAAATCATCATTGCAATTGTCACCATCTTGGGAAGTCTTAAAATGGTTCTGGAGAATGAAATGCACCTCAAACTACACGTGGTCACTGCAGTAATCAGCTAAGACAACTGTGGCAGAAAAGTGTGTAAAAGATTGCACTATAACTTCCCTCTCTTGTTCCCATTATACAGTAAAGGAAAGGACTTCAGTCTCCAGAGCCAGCAAGCTGCCACCTAGGCTGATTTGTTTTAAAACACAATGATGACAAGATACTAGAACAAAATTTTGAAGAAAAAAATGTTTGTCATTCTTACCTGAATAGGTAAATCAAAGCAAGGTGGGGTGCACATAGAACTCAAAATGTATACATATAATTCCCATTAGCTTTAATAGAAGTAGCACCTTGTAGAGGATATTCCCAGAAGACAATTTTTTTCCTTTCCAGCACATGCTGAAAATTCAAACTAAAGCAAAAGCGAAACTGCAGCATGCAGCAGTATTACACTGAGACTGCCACTTCCGTACAGAACAAAGAGGTGACAGCTAAAATAAAACAAGGGTGACTGAAAATATTTGACAGCCAATACTTTTTTAGAATAGCTCCAAGATACTCAAGATGTATAGAACTATGGCTGAATTTACATGACACTTTGAAAGGTATGTGACTTATTTTCTCATGTGTGTGTTATATTTCAAATTGGGAAACTGTAGTTTAAGCAGAAGATTGCTAGAATCGCTTGAAAGAAAGTGAAAAAAAGAGTGAGACAGGAGAAAACTTGACAAAGCAAACAGGCTGAGTTGATCCTGCAATGAGCTGCACCAACAGAGCCTGCACCTGTGCAGTTAGCTAGGGCTGCAGTTAGCAACAACTGAAAGACATTCACACAAAGATGACCATGCAGATAGCTCATTTCTTTTAACCTCTACATTGATTGATTAGTCAGAGTTTCACCTCCAAACACATTAAAAATCAATACTACCATATCTTAATAAGAAAAAGGAACAAATTATCTTTGCTACTTACTATCTAGCATTTCACACCAGTCACTCCAGCACTTCTAAAAAAAATAAAAATAAAAAATAAACCTGCAATGCCAGGGAACTTTCTTCATTTTCAACCATTCCCCACCATTGAACTGAATTAACAAACAAGGACCCCTGTGGACTATGCTACCTGGAGGAAATGAAGCTGACACAAACTAGTAATTTGTTTATTCATAGTTTCTAAAGGCTCTCTACATATTCCTGTAGGTCACACGTACTTTACTCATCTTTCCAAGCTCCTGAGCTCAGAAATGTAGTTTTAGTGAATCAGGAGAAACCCACATAAATATTGTGAACCATTTTTAAAAAAATCCATAGATCTATTTAGCAAAATCCTTTTCACAAAGCCAACGGATGATTAACCAATTACATGACATTTTACATAAGGGATTTCCATGAGGCCCAACTCTTCTTTTTTCTTAATTTCAAAAACATTTCCCTCTACAATGTCTCATCATATTATGGAGCGATTGTGAAAAACTATGTAATGATACAGGCGGCCCCCCGACTTGCAACACGATTGGTTCCCGGGGAAGCATTGTAACTTGAACCCTCATTTACAAAAGGCGGCGTGCACTGTCGTAAATGTGGGCCAATGGCGTAAGTCGGGGGCTTCTTGTATACCCGAAAGTAGCAAAACCAAGCAGCAAGCAAGATAATCTTTCACTCTATACCTGATTTCACAAAGTACCTTCTTCCAGCCCTTCTACACCCCAAAATCATCTGCAGGCAGGCCTCCTAAAGTGATTTGGGTGTATATATGTAAGATCTGCATACATACCATATTCATGAAAGAGAAAGTCAAATTCAGAGATGCTTGTGGGGAAAAATGCATTACTTCTAGATTCGGGGAGAGATAGGGGCCCAGGCATAATTTTCCCATCTCATCTTTAAAGAGAAAGTGAACCCCTTAATATTCTGGAGCATGGGAATGGATTCTCAAACCTATCGTTGAACAAAGCAACGGGATAAGAGGACTATCTACTTCCCCTTCATTTAAACCATAGATTGCAATACAGTAAAAGGAGAAGATGTAAGACTTTTTGTGAGGAATTAAGACATTGAATCCTTCAAAAGTCATGAATTAAGATTAGGGATGTGAAAGGTTAACCAGTTAACTGCTTACTAGTCTTGGTTAGACAGTGGGGGATGGAGTAGCTTCCACCATGGGCAGGAGGCTGCTCCAGTCCAGTGGGACCCACCCTGGACAAGGGTTGCCTGGCCACAGTGGGGAGGGAAGGCCCTCCAGCCCAGCTAAAGTGGAGCACACACACCCCTTAATTGGGATTTGGGAATTACAAGGGATCCTTTAATCCCTAATTAAGATACACTAAAAAAAATTCCAAAATTCACCATAATTCATACAAAGCCTCCAGTGACTGAGTACAAAACTCTCCCTGGAATACCGTGGGTTAGACACTCCGAAACACATATTCACACAAACACAAAATATTATGTTGTTTCTGTTTTTCAGGATTCAGAATGCATTTTTCATTTCTCCATGGCATTTTTGGCTTATACTATTAAAGAAATTATCCATTTACTAGGAACTAGATTTTGATAAAAGACTTTTTCCAAACTAAAAGTTGTGGGGGAAAAAAATTAAAAATTCAGATAGCATCTTTTTTTTGCAAATTTTTTTCATTTCTGGAACGAGATCACTTTTCAAAGAAAAAAAAACTCATCTCTGCTTTGGAAATATATTGGGTTGGTGTCCCTTCTCTAACTCACATCGTGCATAGCTTTGAGACTGTTTTACTGGGGTGTGAAAGCAAGTTAGGTAATGATGACTCCGAGATATGCTTTTCTGTACTGCTTAGGAAAATGTACTTGAGTGGGTGATGTATGTTAATGATTGTCCTACATTTGACATAAATTTTAATGTAAAAAATAGAGTTTAAATGGGCATATTTGTGTCCATTGTATGGCTAGAATTAAGGCTGCTATTGGTTGTTCAGAATGATAATGGGTTGTGAGTTGATAGAGATAGTAGAAGATGAGAAGGAAAAATGATGGGTGAAGTAGTTTGGGCATTTAGTGACTACTTATTTCCTTGATTTTTAGTGTATGGATTGGAAAGCTACACAGTGCAACAACCTTATCTCGAAGTTAAAGATTTTGTACCAAAGTCCCAATAAATTACACAATCAACACTGATATATATTCACATAAATAGCAGTCAATAAATATGTGTATTATATACTCCATATGCCCCCTTCCAGAATCTGAGTGGCCAATATCCCTGCCCTCATTTGTCACCTTTATCTCCTCAAGTGCATGACTTTTCTTGGGCAAACCAACATGAAGTGCAGTTTCTGCCTTTGCCACCTAGATTTGTGAAAGTCAGAGCAGAAACACCTGCAAACATACATGAATAATATCAGTAGATCAGTAGTCTCGATATTATGTGAAAAGAGATACATAAATGCATATTTGCAGGAGCAAGGCCTAAGAACATGATAATGATCTCATTGAGGAAAAGCTAGAAAAGAAAAGGAATCTTGGCAGGAAGTGGAATTAATGTTCTTCCCAGCCATGATATTCACTAGATGCATTTTACACAATTTCTCACTTTGAAAATCAGTTGTAGTAGGGTTTGGGTGTTTGTCTGGAGAAGGTTATTTTTTTGTTTAACTTATGTTGATGGCATTTTTATATGGAGGCAACAAGTTACATGTGAAACAATTTGAATCATTTAAGGGACTAATGAAGTATGGTTGGATGATAACTATGACAATTAAACTGTAAATATTTAACAGAATAATATTATTAAAACATTGCATATTTGCTATTTGACAACTATACCATCCCTTAATTTTTCTTTTTAATCAAAAATAAATCCCTTTCTTCTCCACTGAGCTCCGTGGAGTTGCAGAGGCCTAAAATCTGAAGGTTGCTTGTGGTGCCAACATTAAGAGGGGCAGAGAGGAAGAGAAAAGAACACAGTTCTCAAATATCAGCCATCATTAAACATAGCTAGACAAGCCAACAAATTGGAAATTGAAAATAAATGTCCAGACTACTCTTCTCATCAAAATCTCCAGAACGTTTGTTTTTTCAATGTTGATACAGAAAAGAAAGTTGAAAACAAGCAATTGTGTGCTTTAAATATTGTTTATTGGGAGCCCCCTTATCCTTTGAATAAATGCATAAAGGAGGGCCTTATCCTGCAAACCCTCTTATCTACTTCAGGGGGAATTCCATGCTTGCGATTTTGGGTCCAAATCCTCTTGGCCTCTCTCAAATGAATAGTCTCCATGGAAATCAAGCAAAGCAAGATTTGGCATCAAGTAATACCAATAAAAAGGAAATAAATGAAATACAAACCTCACAAATACAGAGGGGATGTCTATATATAGTATAAGTATCCAACCCCTACTTTGAAGGCATGAGATGGATAAAGCTAGAGGAACAGCTGAGGCCCATTCTAGATGGTGTTTGGTCCTGATGTGAAGGAGGGGACTGAACTTGATGACCTCTCCAGGTCCCTTCCAGTTCTAGTGTTCTATGATTCCTGCCTGCTCCCTCTCCACCAAAATAGCTGAGTGAGGACACCAGGGGCCTTTACTCGACCTCCTCCAGACAATTTGTTAGGCGCTAGCCAGGTCCTCACTGCCACTTTAAACGGATAGACAATGGCACCTGAGAAGCGATGAAATCCTTTTTAAGCAAGGCGCGGCATTGCCCCACCCCACCCCAGCTCCACTAATGGCTGCTCCAGAGTGGCAGAGGGGGTGGGGAACTCAATCAGTGAGCCCACGCTGCCTCAGACGTGAGCATCTGAAGGACTAGCTCCTGCACCCCCCCCGCAGCCTCTTGG